CCATTCTTAGAGCATAAGCAATATCTTTCCTCATGACCACAAGATAACTGTAGCAGTATCACGTGTCATCTGCATATAACCACAACCATCAAAGGAGGGCTGTGCTTTCTCCTGTGTGTTTTATTAGAAAACCTTTTCTTAGAAGTCCCCTCATACCCACAACCCACTTCTCACTAAGTCCTACTAGGGAGGTTGAAAGCAAGTAGCTGGCTCAGTGGAAAGTGAGTTGTGACAGGAAGAAATAATGGAAGACACAGTGGAAGAATGATGGGTGGATGGGGCTATCGGCAGAATTTACCATACATCCTATTTTTCTTCCTATCTTCATAGGAACCTCCTTTCCTATGTTCAATCTCTTCAAAACTAGCTCCTTTGTATGGGTATTTAATTATGTATGAATATCACCCATCTTTAAAAAGAGGGTCTTTCTTGATCCAAATTCCTATCCCACTAATGTCCTTTTTTTTTTTTTTGAGACAGAGTCTCATGTTGTTGCCCTTAGAGAGTGCTGTGGTGTCCCAGCTCATAGCCACCTCAAACTCTTGGGCTTAAGTGATAATCTTGCCTTAGCCTCCCAGGTAGCTGGGACTACAGACACCCGCTACAACACGCAGCTATTTTTTTGTTGTTGCAGTTGTCACTGTTGTTTAGCAGGCCCGGGCCAGGTTCGAACCCGCCAGCCTCGGTGTATGTGGTCAGTGCCCTTGCCGTTGAGCTACAGGCAGCCTAGCTCCACTAATGTCCTTTCTTCCTCTTTCCCTTCCTACTCCCTGACTCTTCATCCTTACTTCCATTTCCTCTTTAACCCACTGCCATCTGGCTTCCACATAGAAGAACAAGAATTGCTTTTTGCTAAATGTTTAATTACTGCTATGTTTCTAAAAACAAAGAACATTTTTTAGTTTTATCTTAATTGACTCAACAGCAGCACTCAACCTAGCTTCTTCTTGTTCCCTTCTCCAAATCTCCAAACTCTCTCTATCCTGGATTTCTTTGGCAACACATACTCTTCCATTTTTCTCTGTCTCACCCCCTAAACTTTCTTTCTGAGTCTCCTTTACTAGTTTATATTATTTTTTAAATTTTATTTATTTATTTATTTATTGCAGTTTTTGGCCGGGGCCAGGGTTTGAAGAACCCACCACCTCTGGTATATGGGGGGTGGTGCCCTACTCCTTGAGCCACAGGTACCATCGTACTTTTTTTTTTTTTTTAATGAGACAGAGTCTCACTATGTTGCCTTCAGTAGAGTGCTATGGCATCACAGCTCACAGCAACCTCCAACTCTTGGGCTTAAGAGTTTCTTGCCTCAGCCTCAAGTAGCTGGGAGTAAAGGTACCTGCCACAATGTCTGGCTATTTTTTTTGTTGCAGTTGTCATAGTTGTTTAGCAGTCCCCGAATTTCCCTTCTGAATTTCCCTTCTTGTGACACTCATCATCACTCATAATGATCACTCATACAGCCTCGGTGTATGTGGCTGGTGCCCTTGTCACTGAGCTATGGGTTCCACGCCTGGTTTATGCTTTTTCATATAACTCTTTACAGGTTGTACAAAAGTGGTCTTTTTTTTTTGAGACAGTCTCACTTTGTCACCCTCAGTAGAGTGCCTTGATGTCACAGCTCACAGCAACCTCAAACACTTGAGTGTAAGTGATTCTCTTGCCTCAGCCTCCCAAGTAGCTAGGACTACTGGTACCCACCACAAAGCCCAGCTATTTTTTGTTGCAGTTGTCATTGTTGTTTAGCTGACCCAGGCCAGGTTCCAACCCACCAGCCTCAGTGTATGTGACTGGCACTGTAACCACTGAGCTACGGGTGCTGAGCCTACAAATGAGGTCTTAAGATCTCAGTCATACTCTTGTGTCACATTACCTTGCACAATCTCCCTAAGTTATAGTATTCTCCAATGCCTTTACCCCCTGCAAATAAATCTCAAATTCCTGTCTAGTTAAAAATTGTTACCTGAGCTCCAAATCTGTCTATTTAATGAATGTCCCTCTAGCACCCCAAACACCTGTCTAATACTGAACTCACACCATGCACATCCTCTCCTCCATCTTGCTCTTCCTTCAGTGTTGCCTCTCCCAGTGCCTCTCCTTCTTTATAATTTCTCAAGACTGAAATCCCTTCTTGACTCCTTATTCCTCAACTTCACATCTAATCAATCAACAAAATCTATTGGGGCTGCCTCTAAATTATCAAAAGTATCCACTTCTCCACCTTGCTTATACATGAATAAGAGCCTCTTAATTTGTATTTTTGCATTCACATGTTCTACTTCTAATCCTACCCATTTAATTGTCACGCTACAACTTAAAAACATGAGTCTTATATGTAACTCTTTTGTTTAAAATTCTTCAATGGTTTTCTACAATCCTTAGAAAAATGTCTATAGTCCTTATTATGACTTCTGATGCCCTGTATGATCTGATCGTTGCTTATCTTTCCAGCCTCATTTTCAGCACATTTTGCTTTCTACATTCTAGCCACACTGGGTATTTTTTCAGTTCTTCATGTGTGTTATACTTGCTTGTTTCAGAAGCAGCCTCAATACTGCTTCCTCTGCCTGGAATGGTCTCCTCCACCTACCTAGATTTCCCCTGTCATTTCTTTTTTTTTTTTTGCGACAGAGCCTCAAGCTATCCCCCTGGGTAGAGTGCCATGGCATCACGCTCACAGCAACCTCCAACTCCTGGGCTCAAGCGAGTCTCCT